CTGGCATATTTTACAAAAGCCGAAAGAATGCCGCACAAAAGATTTTTTCGGACGGTGTATCTCCTACGAAACTCGATACATGACAACTGTTGCGATGACTGATGTGTGTTCCAAAAATTAGCATCCTCTTTCTAAGTGTGTTTTTTATTTACTAAATAAATAATATAATATATATCTAATGTAATATATCTTTTTTCTAAATCTTGGAATCTCTAAATAATCTACTATAATAATATATTTTGAGTAAAAAAAATTTAAATACATATTGTAAACAAATCATAATATCACAAATACGTAATTTAATACTTATACAGAAGCAGGAAATAATAATAGGAATATAGAACTCATAAATTTTAAAATTTGTCATATATATTAAAATTTATATAAAAATATATGGATTACTCTGATTATTGATTATTTTATAGATCATGTAATTGTGTGTAATATTGTATTAGTAATTCCGGGCCATATGAAAGTGTTCAGTCAGCGATTCTTACGCGAGTTGATTCCTTCATTATTTTCGCAAGAAGAAAACATGAATGAATCATCACTCAATATGAATAAGATTTCTTTTACTTTGTTCATGTCTTTTACGAAATAAGTTTCTACATAAAAGTAGAAGTATGTTATTTTGTCAAAGCAGTAAGAGAATTTTATGTATATATATCTAGTTATAATATTATTACGGCGATTAAGCGTTTAAAAGAGTAGATAAAATGTGAGAATTTATGATACAGCTCCGATGTTTTTTCTAATCTACGTATTCTTTTTTAACTATCTCGCATAAATATTCCATAACGAGTGATAAGTGCATGCGTAGAGATAACAATTTGTGTACGTGTGAGACGATAAAATATTGTACTTTTATAACTTTATCATCTCTTTAACATAATATTTTGCTATAAGTTGTTTATAATAGCAGATAAATTTCATTTATATTTAAAAAATTTTTAATATATTATCTACGATTGCAAACATAAAATTACATGCATTTGAATCTATTATGCACAAAATTATTCATATAATTATGTGTCGCCCGCAAAATACATTGCTAAGTTCACACTTTTTCATTTTCGTGAAATCGATTTATCCGAAAGTTGGTTTACCCGACAAGGAAGTTAAATAGGATCGCTCAAATTTTACATACATATTGCATCGCGACGACGCGACGTGGCTATCGTAACAACGTAATAACTCGATACAAGCGTTTGTAAACTTGCACCATGAGTCGTAAACGCTTTCAATGTTCAGCGTACTTCGCAAGAGACTTTCACCTCGTGCAAACCAATCGTACTTATAAACTCATGAGTTCGTTTTATTTTGCTACTATGTATTTTTACTGTCGTGACACATCATTTCTCTCTTAATAGTCAATTATTTCCGTGCACAAAAAGTTTCTATTTGATGGAAAAGCCGTATCATGATCATAATATCTTGCGTTCTCATTTCTAAAAATATTTCAATTAAAAAAAATATTTTCAAGCAGACTAGATTGAAGACTATTGTATAACCATACGTGCCATGCAAAATGTTTCCCCCTCCTTGTTTGTTTAATTATTTAACAATATATAATTACCCAATTTTAATTTTATATAATTGTATGTTGCAATGTAACTTTAATTTTTTAAATAATTATAAATTACTACATACATAATACAGTAGTGTATTACTACTATACATATATTTAGTTCTAATTGATTCTGAGCGATTAATTCGAATTGCTATATAAACTTTGTACACAAAGGCATACTACGATATAAAGTTAAAAACTTCTGAGCAACGCGCAAAATAATCACAATAAATATTACCACCTATGCAACATAGTATGAACGTTCAATCCTCAATGAGAGAGAATTATAATTCTGAAAATATTCTTCTTTTCTTATATATAAATTTTTGAGGAAAAGTGGAGGACACTGAACAGTTGTCGTCAGTAAGGTCCGATGAAAATTATCAAAATTTTTAATGTTATCTTAAGGTCCAATCATGGAGACTCATCTTCAAGACATCATCATTTTATCAAAAAAAGGATAAAAACTTTTTATCCTTTCTCGTAAGAAATTATACTGCATCTTTTATCCTATTCAATGTGATTTTTTTTTAAATACGAGCAATAGAACTTTGGTGTGTTTCTTTTTAGTAAATGTCGCACATTGCTTGAAAATTAGAATATTACAATATTGACGACGTAACTGGGACATCTTTAAAATATCTATTTAAATAACTTTTATAAAATGTTCCAATGACGTCCTTCGGATGTATGATAGGCGTCCAACATATATAGCGATATAAATAGGACATTTCTAGATATATATTTCAGATGTTCAAGGATGTCGAATTGTTGCTTAGACTTAAACACTATGGCGATTATTTTATATATGTCATTATTTTATATATAATTGCAATATTATTATTATATAATTGTGGTACTATATATAATTGCATTTGATAACAACGTAAAAAATAAATTTCTTTATGGAAACGCCACAAAGGTGTTCATTTTTAACAACATTGATGTTATCAGATGCAATTATACATAATAATGACAGTATTGCTATAATATCCAAGTAACAATTCGATGTCCTCGAAAGTTTGAAATATATCTTGCAAATTTTAAATTGCTACAATGCGCGAACTATAAAAAATGTTTTTGTGCTCGTAAATAATAGTCGCATTATATGTTACGCGATTCTAATTTTATGAGTCAAAACGAATTTCCCTTGTCTTGTACGACAAGCGGTTTCTTTCCGTACGAGACAAGTTATCAAGGGGAAACGTATTTTTTTGACTTTTATGATATACCATATTCTTTACGTCTGCAAATGCAAGGTCAAGCTTGTCGAGAAATGGTGTGACACATATGATAATTATATGAATATTCATTAACGTAAACAGAGCTGATAAGGCTAACACTTTTTTGCAAAGAAGGATTTTTTTAAATAATTTGATTGCTCTTTTTTGTCTCTACGCGGCGCAATGGCCGGCCGGTTCTCGGCGTAACATCAACGCCTGGTACGTTTTATCACTGGCTGTCCCTGCGTGCATTGAAATCGCGAGATTTCTCGTTGCGCTAAAATGTCATGTTCTTTCATTTGCATATCTGAACCGCAGCCTTAATAGACTTGCTCGTGTCGATACTGCGATTTGCTACGGTAGCCGATAAACATTATAATGCTCCGATACGATACGGATGTCAGCTTACTGTACATTTGTTTAATAAGATGAAATGTGGTTTTCAAAATAAAATAATTATTAACTACACTTTCGTATCAATTATATTATAATTTATGAAACTGATTAGACTGATCAAAATATTATCATAATTCTTGAGTAATTGCCTTGGCTTGGCAATAACAGTTTTTTAATCCATGTTAATTACAATATTTCTTTTATTAAATGTAATAAATGATCAGATTATTCTGTTAATATACGATAGAACTTTTATTATTTGAACCTTAGTCAAAAGGAAAAGATATTTAGATAATCGATTTTTATTGATAATAATGGCTTAATATTTTAAAGATTTGTTTACTCGGCAGATATAAATGTAATGTAATAAATAGTCCTTCTTTATCGTTCATTTCGCTTTCCCAATTACTCTGAGTTATTAGTCTCAACTTGAATGTTTACTTTCTTTTCTTAGATAACAGAAGTTTAGATAATTAACGTTCAGATAAACACTATTCGCGTATAATAGTTCTATTATACTTAAATCTAATCAATTTTATAGATTCTAATAATCCATAAAAATAAGAATTGTAAATATTTACCATTCTAAAAAGAAAAAAAAAACATGGACGGTATATTGATATTTTAATGTGTAAATCAAGATAACAACAAGTGGAGTAAATTTGCAAGATGTGCAGATTGCAAAGTCAACAGATCTCGTGTTAGTCTCATTAACACAAAGTAAAGTTTGCTTGCCATAATTGCAAGACAATGTCTTACATAATCATTTATGATATAATTAAAACAATGTGAAAACAATATATCAAAGAATACTCGCATCGTACAACAATACCTTTTTAAGCTAAATCGAATTTAACAATAAGTTTAAACATTTACAACGTATACATTTAGTGATTCATTTTATATCGAATGGAAAATTTACATAATGGACAAATAAAATATAAGACCAGAACTACAAATAAATACTAATAAACTAAGCTCTCGATGTCAAGAAAAGGCTAGAACTACAATTATATTTGATGCAAAGTTGTGGCAGGTCAGTGATATCTATTTTGCATAAAGGTATCGGTATATTTCTCATGAAATGGCTTTATAATTCTTTAATTTTAAGATGTTATATTACCTACAGAAGAGTGAAACTCTAAAAGTCATTGAATCAAAGATCAATAATCGATAATTCGCATGATAATCGCGATTCGTTATCGAATTTAAGAACGCTTTCATCTCTTACGAAATACTCTCTCGCATTCTGATTTATTTTATCGAGTTTTAAACGATCAGTTTTTAGCAACATTGCATAAGTTGCAGGCAAGTAGTCCATAGTAAAACTTTGCTAATAGACAAAGAAAAAAAATACAAAAAGTATCTGTTCTGGTAGCGGTACTGCGTCAGCAGTTTATAACTGCCAAACACGTGTCTTTTCATGTAAACGTATAAAAGTTTCCTATTTATAGATAAAAGTTAAAAAGATATCCTCGTGGAAAGTTGTTTACGTAAAAAAAGGATAAAGTTCAACATAAATTGTATACGCCAGAAGCAATTAAAGGATATCAATATTATATTCTCGTGAGAATTATTTTTTATGAACAATTTAAAATAGTATTTATTTGATTTCTCTACAATTGAAGTCGTTAAAAATTAGTTTTGCATACCACTGCATTAATTTTAATTATATTATTAATTATTTTAATTATAAATAGTTGCATCTAAAGTGAAAAAAATAGTTCGGAGAAATATTCTTGTGAACGATCGCTATTGCTATCGACAATAATAATTGCTGTTTTTAAGTAATAACTATTGCGGCAACTCACTTAATAACCGTTTGCTTCATGCTGTTGGTCATCGTGACTAGATTAGTGTTTTCTATGTCTTGGGTATAATGTCTTTTTGCCTGAGTCTCACTAGCACATAACCACACACTCTTCCGTCTTGTGTCCTTTTCCTTCGTCCCGGCTTTTACTTCAGTCGAGAGACCCACGGTCGTTTCCGGAATATCAACTGGAAACTTCTCGTGTGGCCGCTACGTTTTTCTCCTTCTTCTCACGATTTTTCCGTTATCTATTCGACGATCCTTTCCGAAGGAAATCAAAGAGAGAAGAAGACCGTAAAGGGAGGTTGTTGCCTTCCTCCGAGATCCAGATACCAATCTGTTTGGACTGTTAGCGTCGGACTGAAGTAGCGCGCGCGCTTCTGCTCGTATTTAAACGTCCTCTCCCTCCCTGCCACGTCCTCTCTTTCCCTCCCTCTGTCTCTCTTTCTCGTATGCAAGTTCCAGTGTTTCTCTCACGAGAACATTTCACCAGTTTGAACGAAAATCCGAGAAAAATCTATTCAGCGTGTCGTTTCGCGTAGCTCAAAAGTAAAGGGATATAAAAGTATAAATTCAAAGAAACAAAACTTTTTTTGAACCTGTATTTTTCAGATCTCTTTATATTGTAAGAGATACATTTGAAAAGTCACTTTCGCGGCATACATTGTAAAGAATTTTCAAGGAAACTAATTTGAAAAACTTTGTGATGAAACCGAATTTTTTTTCGTTCTCCCCTTTTCTTTCTCCTTCTTCCATTTTTCTCTCTAATTGTATTATATATATATATATATTTTTTTTTTAAATAATATCTGTTGTATTATCAATATGAATTACCAAGGCATTACATAATATATCTTAATCCAAGTATATGTCAATTAAAGTAGAATTTATAGAACAATGTGAAGAAATTCTGACGAAAATGTCGAGCTCTCTGTTCTTAAACTCTGAGTTTAAGCTCTGCATACTACTGCAGATTCAGTTGATTTGAATATCAAGGAGAGACTTCCTCATTATAGTGCACTTGATTTCGATTTGTCGCTTTGGCTCAAGAAACGTCACGATTTATAACGTGCGAATCTGACGCACGTTATAAACGAGCAATTTTGAGAAATCTATTATGATAAGTGCAGAATTATAGTCGTTTGTAAATGTTGTCATTGCGTGATGTTGCAAGAATTTTTAACAATATAATTTATTTAGAACGTTCCAAGAATTCTATGTTTCAGTCTTCAATTGTACGCATGCTTAACTTGTTGAGAAATATTAGTCAAAGAATATATGATGTGCTCTTTTTTATTTTATTAAACATTGTATTAAAAATATCAATTAAATATTGTGCATAAGTTCATTTTAATGTATATTAAATCAGATATGGATATTAAAATATAATTATTCAATATGCGCGATAAATTTGGGAAACATCCAATGCATTTATTCATTTATTCTGATTAAAATAGTATTAAATATTATAATACCACAGAGCTGTGAAATTTGAAGAAAATTATATAATCAACATTCGAATAATCATTGACAATGGCCACAAAGTCTCTTTAACATGAGACGTGATCTCCGAATAATTTTGTGGAATATTAAAGATTAATGAACAGTTTCATGTATTTGGCCGAGTTTCGGAAACTTGACTCGATTATATTCTTCAAGAGTATTAATGCGCAAGTATTAATTAAATAGTAAGTAGTCCTCCGTTATACAAACATCCTTGAAACTCTTCGATAGTGCAAACTGAACAAGGATGGAAGTCTCTCTCTTTCCAGAACTCAGTTAGTAGGGCTTGAACTTATGTAAGCCGCGTGTGCAATCGTCGATCGTAGGGACGCAATAAACGATTTATGGCTTCGCAAATTAAAGGATAATTCAGGAAATTTACAGGATCATGTTTTCTCACTTTGCAAATAGAGAGAGAGAGAGAGAGAGAGAGAGAGAGAGAGAGAGAGAGAGAGAAGGAATGATAAATAACTTCACTTAGTGTTTTTAAAAATATCGCTTAAATCACAAATTATATGGCATTAAATTAATATTATTTAGTTTTATATATTATATATTCACATGTTGCATATATACTTATAACTTTATGCTTAATTTTTGTAATTGTATTTTCATTTATTTTGTAGGTGTTTTTAAAATTACCATACGTAGTCTATGGTAAATCTGTACGAACGTCGATATATCGCTTCACAGGGAAACAATTGATACGCACGATCGCGGTTGATGATTTGTTTATCCTTCACCCTCTTTCATTCCTCCCATGACAAAAGTTTCTTTACGAGTATTACGAGTATAGTCAATACAAGTTTTATTAAAGGTAATGATCAAGGGCGAATGCTAATCAGGTTACATTACACGGCGTAGCGTAGAAACCTCGTAAAAACCTTTACGGTTGTCGTGGAATGTTTCTATAATTTGTCACCGTTTCTTCACGTTTCCTTCTGTTTGTTCGTTACAAATAAGGTACACTTCGTTCGAGTAAAATGTATGACTCGGTTGAATATTCATCATGAAAAAAATTTTTTTCCAGATTAGACCAAGTATCTTAATGTTAAATTATGTTATTTTAATATTTTCACACACACATAACAAGCTAGTTATACAATATTTGCTTACATCGAAACTATTTTGTTCGAGGCAAAGCTCGGAATGTTTTGACGTGTGATTATTTCCTTCAATTGGCGTATTGGTCGATTGATTAGTTTGATAAAGCGCCTAAAGAGAAAGAGAACAACATATAATTTCTGTAAGTATTTATAAAAAATAATAGATTGGACCCAATTGAGAGCCATTATGACATTCTTCGTTCAGCCATCATTGTCGTCAAGCTGGATGGGAATTATCTTGGCGAAGTTATGGCAAAGAAGTTGCAAGATGAAAGTGGAACTGAAATAAAGTCAGTAAACGGTATATAACGCGGAAGTGTGTCAACATTAATTAAAGAAATTCTATTGATTATTGATTGACGTCTTACAATGGCGAAGTTGAAAGGAAAAAATTGATGGCAACGTGATGATATTTTTAAGAACATGGGTCATTTGTTCTAGATACTGTCGCGATCTTTGTGGATAGGACTCACTTAGGATCAGCTCAGATTTTTGCAACTACTAACTTAGTTATTTATAAGTTATTAATCTTAGTTATTATATTTTAATTATTATACTCTCGTATCTCGAATGCTACAGTATCTTATTTTGCGGGCATGCGAAATGATATAGTGTGACAAAATAAGCTGTTTGATTTAGTAAGAAACTGAAATACTTTCCAGTTGATAAGACGAGAATAAATACACGTTAAAAATTTAACGATCACTTTTTGTATATAGGTAATACAGATTTGCAAATAATAAATTTGCAATGATTAATTACAAATCTCTGAGTTACATTATATATACATGAATGTAAATTTCTTGATGCGAATAATATATTTCTCGTTTTGCGTATTTTTGAATAAAAATACAATTCTGTCTGCAAATGTGATAGTGGTCCAAACAGCGAGATATGAGATACCGTTAGCGTGGCATTAAAAAGATTGATATGTCAGACGCGCTTCGATTTGGAACGCAGATTGTATGTACAAGAAACATTATTGACATACTTATTAACATTAGTTAATCGATTTGAATGTGAAAATGTGTTAAAAAAGTTTGACAAAATAAAATCCCGATAGCCATCCCGACGTTGAAAAAATTTGGATAAAATAATCCGAAAAATTAGTTCGCTAGACTATCATTCCCCTTTGATCATTTCCCTCTTTGAAGTATGCGATGCTTTTTTCTAGTTTTTACTTAATACCTGTTTATTAAAAAAATCTTTTTCCTAAAATCACATATTTCATATGCTCCGATCATTAATATTAAATTGAAAAACAAAATGTCATTTGAGTAAATACATTTCATAAACTTTCAAGAAAGAAAGAGAGACAGAAAGAAAAATAAATATGAAATATATTTTTTAATACTTATATTTGTTTCAGTTATGTTAAAGGTTAATATATTCGCAAATCTATAATATTTATCACATGCATCAAATTCACTCAAAATATAATATATACTGAAAATCCTAGAAAGTTTAATACTTCAAAATTATAAGATTATTTAATTAAAACAAATTCGATTTGCTTATTATATAATATAAAGTCGCTTCTCTTCAATCAATTGTATAATATTCTTTAAAAGAAAATTAATTCTTTTGAGTATATATTGAATGTTTCTAAAGTTCGTAAAGTAAGATTGTTATCGAGAAAATATTCTTTGTTAAAGATAATTGTCACTTGAAAGAAAGAAAGTAAATTGAGTAATTACTTTTCTTATCAATAGAATGATATTTTTCTATTTTTACGTATGGTTCTTAATAAAGAACCTATAATCTCGATAATTGGGAAATCGTGCAAAAATGCACAATAGTATGGATAATCGTCGCGAGCACGCTCTTATTTCCACGGTTTCTTACATTGCCATTTGCGTGATAATCAAACTTCGATCAGTGTGTGGACATACCGTCCGCTGTGCAATCAGATATGAAAATACTATATACTTGGTGTAATACTTGGAATGTAGTAATATCTGACTTCAATTATACAGTGAGTAGATTTCTCTATAGTCTCTTGGAAATTTGTTTGCGATTTCCCAGGCACAATCCGGTGATGATGTATAATACACGTCGCGCCGTCGTAACTAATATGCAAATACCGCGGCAAGTGCAACGATCGCCACACGCGTTATCAAGCGATATCGGAAAGTCATTAATGGTTCCTAATACAACAAGAGCGGCGACACCGATTGCCTATCGTACGTCTCACGCAGTCTATTCGTAAAACAGAGTCAACGGGTCAGTGTTCCATGTCATCTCATTCCACTTGGCGTTTGTCGGTGCGTGCGAACCAGTTTATTAATGATAACCGATTAGACCGGTCACGATAAAAATATTCACTTGACTTGTCCGCACTCGAGGAAAACCTAGTATCTGAGATAAGGTATTTACATGGCAGTTTAAAGCTCTTAGTCTGGAAGTAAGTCAAATTTTATCGATAATCTGATACAGTCGTTCGAGTTCTATTTCTCTCGAATTAAGATCGTGATCAATGCAAATAAATTCGCTTGCGACTAGGAGGAATTAACCACTCATTTGAATGACAGATTAATTGTTTCCTTTAAGTTGTGTTTATCCAACACTACTATTTTTTTCTTGTTTCGTCAAAATCTATTTTTGTTTATTGCATGTAAGCAATTTAATTTGTCAATTAATGAAATTATCACTTGAAAAGTTTTTAGAAGTTATTTAAAAAACTAATTGAATGATATCATTATATCGACGAACAA